GTGTAGCTGGACAAGGGTGCTGGTAGGAAGTATGGAATGCGTGACGCACCTGGAACTTGCTAGGCACTCAGCAGAATGCTGAATGCTGCATGAATGAATGAGCCTTTGAGAAACTAGAGGAAAGGCTAGAGGAAACCAAATTAGCTCACTCGAAATCCTTAAAGTCTGCACTTCTAGAGATTGTTAGAGGGAAAACCTTCCAGGACTCTAAATTGCAAGTATGCAGTTGAGAAGAGAAGATCCCCTTAGATGTCTGGAGGCTCCACTGCTCCTATCCCGGCCCCAAGGACTGACAAAGGTCATGGAATGATCTGTGCGTGTTCTGGGGCCAGAATATTCCTGAACTCAGAGCTCTGGAACTGAACATCAGCCAGGTACCCAGGAACCTCTGGTTCTTTGGCCATTGGGCCCTCAGACCAGCTCCTGGGCTTATGTCATATGAAGCCCCATTGTGCATGGCCCAGGCTTGAGCTCTGCCCACGCTGCTCGTGCTTTGGGTCACTTGCCCAATATGTGGTGTTTGCTGTGCACCCTGCATTTTATAGAGAGCCCCAGGATGTGAGCATTCCAGTACCATCTGTGGATTCCCACAGTTTGCAAAACTTGATGCCTTTTTTAGCCTCGTGCTGCTGGTAAAGCCTGGCTCAGCTTGCAAAACTCTGCAGCTTCCGGGGACCCACGGTGTTCGCACACAGCATCTCACGCTAAGCCTGGTGCTGTTGTAAAACCCTGGGCCCGTGGCAGAACATAAGGCCTCTAAGTCAACCCACTTAGAGAGGTGCCTTTTGTAAAGCAGGCCAAATAGGAGATTCCTCAAGTTAGACAACCTGATTTGAGTACAAGGGAAGGGTGGTGGGCTCCAGAGTTTAGAGCTTAATTCTGTCCCAGCTCTGTCGCACCCCTGCTGGAGAACCTTGGGCCAATTCCTATGTGGATCTTGGTCTTCCCATCTGTAACATGGATACCATGATATCAAATCACCCACCTCCAGGATGGTCTGAGGGTCACTGTGAAATGGTTCAAAAGATGAGGGGTAGGGCTGAGAAGGGGAAGAGTGGTCAGAGACTTCTTCCTGAAAAAGGCATCATACTGCCGCCTCAGCATCTTCGCTCCTACTTCTCTCTGGCCTTCTAGCCAGGGAACGGATATCTATAAATGAGCGCCCAGACCGCCAGCCAGTCAAGTGAGGCTTTGGTCAGCTCCTGGGCCACCCCAGCCTTACATGTGGCTTTGGGTCCATGCTCCCTGCTGCACAGACAACTCCTGTGCCTTCTGCCTGAGCTCTGCCCAGGGCAAGCGAGGCTGTGCTTACATTGTCCAGAAGCACACAGCCACTCAGGAAGGCCACTTGTCCAGCATGCACAGCAAGGGCTGGGATGTGAGCCAGGGACAGTGAGGATGGATGCGTATGGTCCTCAGAAGGTCACGGTGGGAGGGCTGTGGAGCTCACTTAATTCAATCCTTCCCTTCTCCAGGCCCGGATGCCAGTGCCTGGAGAGTGTGACATCATGAGGGCGTCACCGTCCCCCTTCTCCTGGCCTTGTTTCTCTGGCACGCTGAAGAGAAAGCAGCTCACCAAGTGCCCAGGCCTTCCTCCTTGTCCATATTTCTCCTTCGGGCAGCTCGTCTTCCAACCTTGTGAGGAGAAGGGGGTCTCCAGGTGGTGTGGGACCCCCCTGGGTCTTACCACCCCAACCTCATTCTAAACTCCTCATCATTCCTGGAAATAGCAGCTCTGTGCCCCAGAAAGAGGACGAGCTTAGGCACCAGGCAGTTCAAACCGCACAGGAGAGCTGCTGACTGAGGCCCGGTGTCTTCCTCTGTGAAGTAAGATGACAAGAAGCCTCCCCAAGGACTGTGCACACTCCTACCCACCTCCAGCCCATCTTACGGTCCCATCTTCTCCCTGGTAAATGCACAGCTTCTCTAAGAAAACTAAATTTATCCCCAAGGCCTGGCTGGGCGGCTTAGGGCTGATCGCTGGCCCACTCTGACTCTGTCATTGTCTGTGAAAAGCCTCTCCAGAGCTGTCAAGGCTCAGATGAGTGATGGATGGATTAGTTCTTGCTAAATTCTGAGAGCTGAGGGACGCACACCATTATTAATCTGGCAGGGTTGGTGATGGTGATGACTTGGAATTTGGAAGCAGAGGATGAGGAGGAAGTAAATCATGCCAGGTGGGTGTCAGGTCAGCCCAACCCGACTGACAGCTCCATGGAAATAAATCACTGAACAGCCCTCCTAAGGTGGTGGTGGGGGGAGCCCAAGGGCAAAATGGGGGCTCAGCAGGCAGGCTGGGGGTCACTACCCACAGCTGTACCGTGGCAGGTACTGCCGGGCTGCGTCTTCCCAAGGTCTCCAGCAGGCACTGGCTGGCCCGGCTCCCCAGGCCTGGCTCTGCCATTGATGTGCTGGTGCTAATGGGGTCCTTCCCTTGCCCAGCCCTCAGGTTCTTGGTATGAGGTGGCACCAGGAAACTTGGGAAGGAGGTCGTTCTTCTCTGCGCATTTCTTAGAAGGACCCCGAGAGCTACTACATGCACCACATCTTCCACAGTGTCAAATGTCAGGCTTCTGTTATTAATAATTTGTGTCCTTGGGCCAGGGAGATGGCTCAGTGGAATAAGCGCTTCCCTTGCAAGTGCAAGGACCTGAGTTCAATCCCTGGTTTGGGAAAAAAAAAAAAAAAGCTACTGGGGCAAATGGAGGGCTGAGATGGCACTGTAGAAATAATTTATGTCCTTGGTGAGAAGACACTGAGGCAAGTGTGCAGCAAAGGCTGGGAGGTGGGGGGTGGGTGAGGGAGGGGCACAGGCATCTGCTGTGCTGGGATTCTTTGCAGTGAGAACCCAGCTCCCTGAAGACTTTACAGCACTGCCCTCTGGAGGTATAGAGGAGGATTGCACCCTTGCTTTCTCAGGAATCAGGACCACTGTAGGCGCTGATGACGACGGGCCAGGAGACAGCAAAAGCAGCCATCCCTGCACGCCTGTCCACACTCCCACCACCTCCACCCAGCCTCTCCTGTCGTCCTGGCGGCCAGAGGGGGTTTCCCAACCTGTACTTCTGTCCATGCTCCTCCTCAAAACCCTGCTCGGCTCCCTCTTCTCAGCCTGTCCCTCTGTCCACACGCTTCTGCCAAAGGCTGTCCTCACTTGCAAGGGAGGTGGTTTGGGAGGGTGGTGAGGATCAGAGCCCGGTCAGGACTGCTCAGGTGTGGTCCTGGGCTTCTCCACGTGGTAGCTGTGTTAATTTCTAGTCTGCAATATTCTATAAATACACATAACCACGAAAAGTACCATTTTACCTGTTTTAAATGTACAGTTCAGTGGCATCGAGTCCTCTCACAGCGCTGTGCAGGTGTCACTTCCATCCATCTCCAGACCTTTCTCACCTTCCCAAATAAAGGCTCCAGGCACATGTGCCCTTGCTTCTTCACAACTCTGTCTTCTCATCTGGAGACCGGAGTAGGGAACAGTGTGGCCCTGTGGCGTGTCTGTGGGTGGGAGGCACGGGTTCACCCACTGCCATCATTGCTTTCGTCACTTGAGGAAAGTACTCTGGAAAGCAAGCAGGTGACCTCTGGACACCCACGCCCGCTGCTGCCCAGGATGCATTTCTGACAGTTGCTGGGAAGCATGCCACCGCTTCATCTAGGAAGATGAGTCACTTCCTCCCTGGTGGCTTGTGAGCCTGGATGGCAGGCAGGAAGCAGAGCGGGCTGCTGCCGCTGCTCATCAGGCTGGTCCTTGCTGTGGGTCTGATGGAACTGCGTGAACAGGAGGATGTGTCTGGCATCAGGGACAGGT